CTCCTCGCGGCTCACCCCGCACGGGTCCCCGCCGCCGCTGCCGCCACTCCTCTTCCTCAGCCACCGCCGCCGCCTCCTTCGCCGAAGCGGCCGCGTCCGCCGCCACCGAGGCTCACACTCAGCGCCGTCGCCGTAAAGCGCCTCGGCTGTTACCCCGGGTAAAGTTTCCTGGGCCTAGTTTACGACACTTCCCTGCCTGCCGGCTGCCGGGGCCAAGGCAAAGGGGCGTGGAGAGAGGTGACCTGTTGAGGGGCGGGGACCAAGGTGTCTCTCTCCAGCTTCAGGGGAGGCCGTGTGCTACGGGGTGGGGTTACAAGGCCGGGAAGTTACCGAGGGCTTTGGAGTCGCCGGCTCCCAACCCCAGCTCTCGGCTCTGGGGGTCTGCAACCCGCGGAGCGTGCCGCGCGGGCCTGGGCCGGGAGACCGGGCTGCTGGGAGGCCGCAGCCCCCCAGGGAGCTGCGACGAATCCTGCCAGCTCCGGCCTTGTGGCCCTAGCCGTTTACAAGTCACCTAAAATGCCTTTCCTCGGCTGCACTGCCCTTAACGTTTACTCTGACCCGGGCGGCGTAGGGGAGGAGCGCTTAAAAATGGAGCCAATCAGGGAAGCAGATCCCAAAGGAGAGGAAGCTTCGAGCTGTGGAAATGCGCGGATGGCTGTCGAAACCCGGTGGTTGCGACGTGAATTAAGTTTAACTGACCTCTTTCAGGCAAGAGAGCAGATAGTCGTCTTCCTCTCACTCTTTATACCCTCTCCCCTCGCCCGGGAAAAACTGAAGGTAAACGCGACTAACAGGTGCTGGGCAACTGCGAGCACTCCCGGGAGAGAGCGACCAGGACTAAAAGGCACGTTACACTCCTTGTGGCACGAACTGTGATAGTTTGAGAAGCACCGGCAAAGAGGTGTCCCGATCCTTACAGGTCGCCTGCCAAGCAGGTGCAGAGGGAAGAGAGCATGTGACTCCACTCTTCCTGCTGTAAACTACAATGGATGGCTGTCAGCAGGTCTGAACTGGAGAGGCCGGCAGGTAGTGTAGCTCACTTGCAGAATAAGCAAATTAGGTTGGTTTTGTTGTTGTTAAACTGATTCGCTTATGTGTACCGCAGAAAGACGTTTTCAGAGATATAATTCTATCACTGAATGTTTTTGCAGCTTTTTGCCAGCATCTAAACTTTGTAAAAAGTGGGAAACACTGCATGATTGTTAGGTACGATTGTTAGAAGTCCCTGTCACTAAAGATGTTAAAGGAAAACTATCGTCTTCCATGATACTATCCCTACAACTTATAGGGACAATAATAATAAAATTTATTACCATGTGCCAGGCACTGTTCTAATTGTCTTACATGTGTTTACTAACTTAAAGAAATATTGACAGAAATTTGCATGTGTGCAGAAATAGGCATGCAGAAAGTTGTTTATTTCAGCCTTGTCTATAATAGAAAAAAGTAACTCTAAACTACCTAAGTATCAATAAATACAGGAATAACTAGATAAATATGAAACATAAATACAATGAAATAGTACTGTTAATCATAGTATTGTTTAAAAGATTGAAAAAAGAAAAATACATATATATACTTTCGCAGTTACTGTGGCTGCATTGAAAATTACACCCACAACTTAGTGGTATAAAACAACCATTTATTATGCTTATGGATTCTGTGTCTCAGAAATTCAGGCAAAGCACAGCAGGGATGGCTCTTCTCTGCTCTTATGTATAGGGTCTCAATTGGAAGGCTCCAAGGCTGAGCACTGGAGTCATCTGAAAACTTTTCTCTCCATTACTGGTGCTAGAACCAGAAGCTTCAGTTCTATTTCATGTGGACTTCCCCATGTGGTCTTTTAGCGTGGATTAGTTTGGGCTTCCTCATAACCTGGTGGCTGAGTTCCAAAAGCAAATATCCCCAGAGAGAGGGAGAACCAAGCAGTACAGTTTATCTAGGCAGCTACAAAGTTGCATCTAGGTTCAAAGAATGAGAGTGGGGAAGCAGATACTACCTCTTGATGGAGAGAAGCAAGGTTCTCAAAGAGCACATGGGACCAAAAATATTGCCATGACTGTTTTTGGAAAATACAACTTGTCATAGATACTTACACTGAAAGCCCTCCTAGATACCTGAAGGTGAGGTAAGAATAAATACAGTGTCTCCTGGGCCCACGTGATCTATCTGCCCTGGCCTTCCAAGTAGCTGGGACTACAGGCATATGCTACCATGTCTGGCTAATTTTTCTATTTTTTATAATAGAGACAGGGTCTCTCTGTATTGCCCAGGTTGGTCTCAAACTCCTGGGCACAAGTGATCCTCCCACTTCAGCCTCCCAAAGTGCTGGGATGATAGGTATCTATTTATGTTCTTTAAAAAGTGCAAAACAAGGCTCGGCACCTGTGGCTCAAGTGGCTAAGGCACCAGCCACATACACCTAAGGTGGTGGGTTCGAATCCAGCCTGGGCCTGCCAAACAACAATGATGGCTGCAGCCAAAAACCAGGTGTTGTGGTGGGTGTCGTGACAGGCGCCTGTGGTCCCAGCCACTTGGGAGGCAGAGACAAGAGACTTGCTTGAGCTCAGGAGTCCAGGGGAATAGCTTGAGGCTCTGTCTCAAAAAAAAAAAAAGTGCAAAACAAAACTTCACTTCCAAATGTGCATACACTGTTTTAAGAAATATTTCTCAAAGTTCCCAAGTGTAACCTGAATGTTTGGCCAATGGAATAATGATCTGTTCAAATTGCAGCAGAAAAACTAGTCTAAATGGCTCCATGTGATCCCATAAGAAATGTTTAAGGGTAATTTTTACCTAAAAAAAGTGTCTCAGCCGGGCGTTGTGGCGGGCGCCTGTGGTCCCAGCTACTTGGGAGGCGGAGGCAGGAGACTCGCTTGAGCCCAGGAGTTGGAGGTTGCTGTGAGCTGTAATGCCACAGCACTGTACCCAGGGGGACAGCGTGAGGCTCTGTCTCAAAAAAAAAAAAAAAAAAGTGTCTCATGGGCGGCACCTGTGGCTCAAAGGAGTAGGGCACCAGCCCCATATACCAGAAGTAGTGGGTTCAAACCCAGCCCCGGCCAAAAACTGCAAAAAAAAAAAAAAAGAAAGAAAAAATAAATATGTCTCATAGTCATTTCATTTGAAATATAACCTCTCTAGAAAAAAACATAACTGCACTGTCATCATTTAGTGCTAGCAAGTCTTCATGCTTTTTTCATGTTGTACCTTGGCATTGAGCTTTCTCACAATGAGTGGCTGAGGGTTGGTTTAAAGTTATTTTCAGAAAATTAAAAGAGTTGCAAAGACCTCCTTGAGGTCAGGTCTGAGTACTATTCACTTTGTACTACCATATCTAACACATAAAAGAGAATTTCCCAAGCTTTTTGACTGAATTCTGCCCTTCTCTCCTTCAGCAGTCTAGATTGCTTATAATGACAAAATAAATTCTGACACTCTGGGTAGTTAATAAGCTAATAAAATTTCTGATGTCTAACCTCCAGTGACTTCTCTTTATATCCTAGTATTAAAATTCCAGTGTTGAGGCCGGTTGCGGTTCCTCACTCCTGTAATCCCAATACTTGGGAGGCTGAGGTGGCTGTATTGTCCTGAGCTTGGTAAGAGACCAGCCTGAGCAAGAACAAGACACCGTCTCAAAAAAATAGCCGGGCATTGTGGTGAGGGCCTATAGTCCCAGCTACTCTGGAGGCTGAGGCAAGACGATCACTTATGCCCAAGAGTTTGAGGTCGCTGTGAGCTATGACGCCATTGCACTCTATCAAGGACAACAAAGTGAGACTCAGTCTCTAAAAAATATACAAAATAAAATTCCAGTGTTGGCCTTCTAAATCAGGTGACTTCTGTAAGAAATCTGTCCATATACATAAGAAATCTTTTCTTTTTTGCTCATGTTTACTTGATATGATAGTAGCAGTATTTTAGGCATAAAAAGAGAATTAATTCACTCCAATGTTCTAGGCATATTTGCCTGTTGTGAGACTCAGAGAGAGCAATAACTACATAGGAAAGAAAGGTCTCAGACAGCTGGGTATTAGTGGCTCACACCTGTAATCCCAGCACTCTGGGAGGCTGAGGCAGGAGGATCTCTTGAGCTCAGGAGTTCAAAACCAGCCTGAGCAAGAGTGAAACCCCATCTGTGGTAAAAATAGAAAAATTAACCAGTAGTAGCAGTTAACTGTAGCCCCAGCTACTTGGGAGCTGAGGCAGGAGGGTTGCTTAAGCCCAGGAGTTTAACATTACCACGAGCTAGATGAGGCCATGGCATACTAACCTAGACCCCAGAGTGAGACTGTGTCAAAAAGGAAGGAAGGAGGGAGGGAGGGAAGAAAGGAAGAAGAAAGGAAGGAAGGTAGTTCTCAGAGTAAGGGAAGTGTAGCCAGTAACCCTCTTCCATCTGGGTAACTGCTATTTTCATTGCTTTGTAATATCCTATGATGGATGCAATAGTCTTTTTTTTTTTTTTTTTTTTTTTTACTATTGTCATTGTTCTCTTTTGAGCAAAAAAAGACATACCTTAACTTTTTTAGGAGGAAAAAGCTTCTCATTAAATCAACTAAAATAACCAACAGCAATTTCAAAACAATATCCTAAAACAATTTTCTGAAATTAGCTTGGAAGGAGAAAAATTCCTTTCTAATGCCTTCTAATAGTAAGATAATTTTCTCTTAGGCAAATGTAAGGGAGAAAACCTAGCTGTAGATCTACCTGAAAGGTAATTGTGGGAATGAAGACGTTAATAATGGAAAGATGCTTTAAGTTCCCTGGACTCACAGGACGACATTATTATGTGCCACAGCACACATACTGAACAATTATTTGTATAGTTTTACTTACATGTCATATGGGTATTCACCCCACCAATCCTATCTGTTATACAAAAGCCCTGAAAATGAGTGCCCTTAAATTTGTTTCATCTAGAATGAAAGAGAGAGAGGGAAAGGAAGGAAGGGTAGAAGGCGGGAGGGAAGGAGGAATTGGAGGGCTATAGAATTTAACCAAGGGATGAACGTTAGTGTGTTGTTTCATCATCTATAATTTTGGAACGCTATGATGTCCAAGTGAAGTGCTTCAATTAGTGATTTGTTTCTTCCCTTTGAATTTAGGGGATGGCAGTCTGTTATTTAACCTTCTTTCCCCTTGAAAATAGTGCTTGACACTTCAAATTATAGGGACAGATTTTGTTAGTACAACCGTCTAAGACCTTGTATGTTAGACCAGAGTATGCGGGAGCAGAGAGGGCTGTGGTCAAATGGTCCTCACTTCTGTTACTTCCAGCTTTAGACTAGCTTTTCACAATCTGCCTAAAGACATGGATGATTGATTTTCATAGATACACCTGGGCTGGTGAGAGGTGTTAGAGAGAATTGTATGTTCCTATATATTAAAGCCATTGAAAATTCTTGGTCTCCAATTTAGCTATGCCC